AATCCCTCTCTGTGAGTTAACTGCCAAGACAGGCATTCATCACTCCATTTGCACCTCGGGGTTTGTTGCACACTTGACTTTTCACAGTGTCCTCCCTGTAAAGGTCGAGAGAAACCTCTTCCTAGTTTCAGCACCAGGAATAGCGAGGCATCACCTGAACTGCTTTTTAAAAACCTTACGGTCATTAGGAATCACGTGAGGGATTGTTTCCCTCTTTGCATTGGCCACTAGGACGCTCAGGGCCAAATTTGTACACTAGGTCATGTGGCATGGGTTTTTATACTGTCTCACCTGACTCTGTTTTTTTGTTTTTCCTGCCTTTTTTTTTTTTTTTTCTGCCTCTAATGCCTTTTGGAATAAGGGCATAAATAAGTTTTAAAAAAAAATCTCTTACCAATCTCCTGATTACTACAAAAAATATATATAACTAAGATACGAATTCTTGGAGGATATGTTCACCATTGCAATGCCAGTGCCTTAAACAGAACGTGAAACATAGTATGTGCCTAACACAGAGTCTGACATGTAACAGGTGTCTGCCCCAGGGCCTGGGACATAGTATCCAAGCCCCCCTGTGACAAAGACCATCAGCCTACCACTCATTATAAAATTAATTAATAAAGATGCTGTTAACATTAAAGAAAATAAAATGGGTTAGGCTGTTCCATGAGTGTAGGCCTAGGCATTCGATCGTACTGCGTTCTTGTCATATGGCTGCCATAACAGAGTACTGCTGGTCAGGTGGCTTAAACAATGGAAATGTACTGTCTCACAATAATTTTGGATGCTAGAAGCCCAAGATCAAGGTGTCAGGAGGGTTGATGTCTTCTGAGAGCTGTGGGAATTTGTTCCAAGACTTTTCCCTGGCTTCTGGTGCTTTGTTTGCGATCTCTGGCATCCCCTGGCCTACGGAAGCATCGCCCCATCTCTGCCTTTATCTTCACATGGCATCCTCTTTGCATGCATGTCTGTGTCCAGATTTCTCCCTTCTTATAAGGACACCTGTCCTATTGAACTAGGGGTCAACCCTACTCCAGTACGACCTCATCTTAACAAATTACCTCTGCAGCGACCCTATTTCCAAATAAGGTCACGTTCGGACACACTGGGGGGTTAAGATTTAAACCTATGAATTTGGGGGGACACAATTCCATCTATAACACATATATTTCAAGATCCAATTGGTTACAAGTTCTGCAGCGGACGGTGGAGGCTTTTGTCCAGTTACATGCTGAGATCGGAGCCCAAGGCTCACAAAGCTGGCTGGGTCTGCTCAGCATCCCTGGAGCCCCTCCCACTGCCATGAGAGGCCATCGTCACACACGACGGGTGTCCTCAACCCCGAACCTACTCTCTGCCTCCCGCGTGACCCCTGCCGGGAATCGAACCAGCAACCTTCCAGTGCCCGGGATGCTGCCCAACCGAGCCACACCAGCCAGGACAAGACTGTATTTTTCTTAATGGTCAACTCATGTCTCTGTGTTCCCCCCGTCTAGCTTCCTGATTCAATCCGTGAAAATAGGCCGTGGGTATTTTACCATGCTGAGGGAGGAGAGTGCCTGGAAAAAAAGCCAACAGCAACTTCAGAAACTGAAAGAAGAAGAAAGACATAAATTCCAACCGGCCAAAAAGGTCTCAGAAATCCACTACAGGGATATCATTCTGGCGTAAGTAGACACCGTGGCCGTGGCCCATGGTCTTGGGGAGGGCCTCGGACAGCGAACGCTGCCTGGCTGGGTTGAGGGATGGGAGCTGGCTCAGACGGGAGCCCCTTCTCTGGCTAGTGTCTAATGACTACGTTTAGCCTGGTCCAGCCTAACTTTCCAGCCTCGCCTTCTGGCACTCGGTGGAATATTTTCTCCTACATGTGTCTGTCCTCGTATCTAATTCCAAGAGCTACACAGGCACATCATGACCTGAGCCACCTTCATCCAGCCACTCGGTGGGCCACCATGAAGTGTCCTCGTGGAACCTCGAAGGGGCATGGGATACAGAGAAGGGCACTCAATGATCAGGGGGCCCTTACTCTCTCTGTGAGGGTCCCGAGAGCTCAAAAGAGAAGGAATGGACCCAGCTCTTTTTTGCAGGAGCTGTGCTCAGATTAACGGGCGAGTGAACAGGCGCTGGGAGGGGGCGGTGTCTGTTAAAGATCCTCCTGTGCCTGCTTAAATTGTTCACTTGTAACGTTCCCCTTGTCTGGATGGGGCTTTTAATCCACGGTCACAAAACAGTGCTCCCCTCTCCGATCCATGTTTCTGTGTGAAAGATGTGGTTTATTTAAAGTTTAATAAGTTTAAATATGCATGAGGTGGCTCCTCTTGTAGACACTGGTCTGGGTATGTCTTATCTGGTGAATTCTATGAGCTGTACAAGGCCGATTATTAAACTATAATGAGGCCATTACTGCAATGTGGCCATCAAATCAGGTCGGGAAGCAGGGGTTGTAAAATAGCACTGATAGAGTATCCTGACCAGTACAGAGTAGTGGTTAAGAGCACAGGACTGGGTTCAAGTCCTGGCTTCCTCCATACAACTGTTTCGCCTTGGGCAGGTTGCTGAACCTCTCTGAACCTCTCTTTTCTTCACCCATATGGATGATCCCAAACTCCCAAGTTAATTCTGAGGATTAAGTGAAATAGCGCTTAGCACAGAGCCTGGCATATGAGACGTGCTCAGTGGCTGTTAGCTGCTATTATGCAATAAAGAGAATTTGATCCTCAGATTTATGGCTAATAATCTTAATGTCCAGGCTTGAAAGCATCTCACATCTAAGAGCAATGCTTCTATAAGTATAATTCCAATCACAGAAGTATCAGAAGTACAAGTGTCCTTTCTTAAATACTTTTTTTAAACAAGGTATTTGATCTTGTGCATTATAAAAGCAAAGGGGATTATGCTTCTCCCGTCCAGATCTAAGACCATGGGATAAGTTCTTTTAGACAAAAGTTTTAAGTCTGGCAAACTATGCAGGGAAAAAAGAAACTCAAGCATGTCCCCAAAGGTTTCTGCCTGCCAGCAGTCTTCCCCACTGTGCTCAACAAACTCGTTTTTCAGCTGGAAATTAAGCTGAAAAGTTGGAGAAAACACAAGGGGTAAAATGTGTCTTACGGTGGTTGAGAGAAGACGTAAAACCAGAGGTTAAGGAGTGTAAAGGCTGGGTTAATTTCTACATATTCTAAACCCCTGGGGGTAAGAGTTGAGAGCCAGTAAGATTGGGCACTGCCATAGTTGGGGGGGGATAAATGGTGATGGAAGGTGGTGAACACACAACACAATCTACAGATGATGCACACCTGAAAACTATATAATTTTATTAACCAAAACCACCCCAATAAATTCAATTTTTTAAAGTGTAAAATTGTCCAGCCGGCATGGCTCAGAGGTTAAGCATCAACCTAGGATCCAGGAGATCGCGGTTCCATTCCTGGTCAGGCACATGCCCCAGTTGCAGGCTCGATCCCCAGCAGGGGGTGTGCAGGAGGCAGCCGATCAGTGACTCTCTCTCTCTCTCTCATCATCAATGTTTCTATCTCTCTCCCTCTCCCTTCCTCTCACTCTGAAATCAATAAAAATATGTATTTTTTTAAAAGTGTAAAACCTGTACACTGAAAACTACAGGACGACATTGAAAGAAGTTAACAAAGATCTGAATAAATGGAAAGACATCAAAAAACAAAAACTTGGCACTGCCAAGGTATTTGCTTGTGGCTTCCTCAGCTCTAGGGTTCAATAAAAAGCCCTTGGAAATGGAAATCAGGCGACCTAGATTCTGGTCCCATTTTTTCCCGTTAACTCTGTGACCCCAGAATTGTCCTTGAATTCCCAAGAGGAAGGTAAATTCCTAATATGTGCCCCCACAGCCTCCTCTGCCCCCACTGTAGGACATTCTCAAAACACCAGCCAACGGGATCCTTCTCAGATGCAAGTCAGATCATGTATTCTCTCAGCTCAAAATCCTTTACGTTAATTCAGAGAAAAGGCCAACGCCCTTGCAACAGTCCCCAAGCCCCCACTTCTCTCTCCACCCTCCTCTCTCTTCTCTATCGCTCAGTCCACTCCAGCCACACTGGCCTCCTTGCTGTCTCTATAACACAGGTGCACCTCAGGACATTTGCACACGCTATTCCCTCTGTCCAGAATGCTCTGCCCCTAGACATCTGAATGGCTCACTCCTTTACCCTCTGCAGATTTTTATCAAATGTCACCTTCTCGGTGACACCTTCCCTATCACCCTCCTTAAAATTGCAACTCCCAGAGCTCCCAGCCCTTCCAAACCCCCTTGGTCTGCTTTTTTTTCTCCCCATAGCATTTATCACTATCTAGAATGGGGCAGGGAGGCCATGCTGGCCAAACCCGGCCCCCAGGCTGATTTTGTAAATAAAGTTTTATTGGAACACTGCCATTACATAGTGTTTCCATACAGGCAATGGCATGACTGCTTCCATGCTACTAAGTAGTTGTGACATATACCATATGTCCTACAACGTCAGAAAGATTTGTGTGACCCTTTAAGAAAATAGATCCAATGGTATACTAGTACACCACACAATTTACCTATTCATCCCCTTTCCCCCTCCACTAGAATATGCGCAAATGTGACTGGGCGCCAACTATATGCCAGGCAATAATTATGGCTGGAGAGATGAGGGTTCTATATGCCCAATCATATTTGCCAAATAACCCCTGGCGAGAGGCGTTTGAAACCGCTGCTCACTGTCCGCTCTGTTTCTCTCTTCCTGCCGGTCCTTCAGCACCTACGATGATGAGAAGGTTAAGAAGGCGGGGGCCGGAGTCATACCTCGCCCCTTCACCCCCAAGCACAACTGCATCATTTCGCCCCTGCTACGCGAGGCTCACGTGTAAGTACAGCGTTGCCTCTGACTCAGCCAGCCTTTCCTTTGCCCTCCTGAAAGGGACATGGAGCCTGGAGCCTACAACACTATTTGGCAAATAAAAACAACAGAGAGCAGACTCGGTGGTTTAGAGCTAAGTGGCAAATCAGCCGGGACGGAGTCATTCCGTTCCTTACCGAGCCAGACGCTCTAAATGTCAAATGGTTTGCGAAGCCTCATAAAAAATCTGTCTACAGCCCTCACCGAGGGTGTGCGACAACATTGCAGCCACGGCTCGGGGGACAGGTTCTCCCCAAGGCTCGAGCGCAGAGCTATTTCCCAGAGAAGCCCCAGGTCCCCTGACCCAAGGCGTGAACTCATCAGCGCTCGGCGTACCTGGCTAATGAGCCCCCCGAAGAACACTCTGGCTCTCTGAAACCTTGGCATCTTGCTCCCCTTGGGTCTACACCAGAGAACTTCAAGCCCAACTCTTTCTCTCCTGCTAGTCAGCACTTTTCAGTGGGAAGATTTCAGGCACAGACATGGAAGCTTTTGACTTCAGGGCAGGGTTTCTCAATCGGACATCAGGGCACAAATAATTCTTTGCTGTGAAGGACTGTCCTTTGCTGTAGGGTGTTTGGCAGCACCTACCCACTAGGGGTCAGTAGCACCCAACCCCGAGTTGTGACGACCAAAAAATGTCTCCAGACACTGACCCAGGGGCAATGAACACAGTGCAATGAATTCTAGACTTCTCTGTCCACTGTCCACTCGTTTCTCAAATATCGTTCGGGCCCTACGTATGCACAGTAACAACGGCACACTGAGCACTCTGTAGGCAGTGAATCTCCTTCAGTCCTCTTGTGTTGGTGTGTGGTTGTCCCCTCTCTGCAGATGAGAAAGCAGAAGCTCAGAGAGGTGTAGTGAGAAAGCACGGCCTCAGGGGTTAAACAGGCTCGAGTTCAAATCCTCACTAATCCTTGAAGTCAAATCTGAGTGTGACCTCGGGCAACTGGCTCTCCCTCTCTGAGCCTCAAGTCCCTGGTCCACGAGGAGGCCGTAATTCCAGTACCCTCCCTATGGGGATGTTGGGAGCATGAAATGAGATAGCTGCATCCCATCTCTGTCACCAAGAAGCTGTGTGACCTAGAGCAAAGTCACTGTACCTCTCTGAGCCTGTTTCCTCTTCTCTACAGCGTGCATAATGATTCATACCCAGCAGGCTGCTGAGAGAAATAAATAACACGTGTAAAGTGCCTTAGTCAATGCCTGGCTCACTGTAACACGAGATGCCCCCCCCCCCC